TGCTTCTGGCAGGTGTATGGACTGGCACAGGTGGTAGCACCGGTCCAGTTATTTCCACCACACTGCGCATAGTGAGCAGCGCCGGTGGTGCTTGATCCAGTCGTAGTAGTGGTGGTGGTTGCCTTGGTGGTGGTGGAGCTGGTTGTGACCTTTGTGGTGGTAGTGCCAGAGCCTGAGCCGGTCGAGCTGAAAGTCGAACCGAGAGGCCCGACCTTGATGTTTGAATAGACAACGTAGGCGTTCGGATGGTTGGCTTCAACATCGGAAGGATCGCCAGAGGAAATGTCGCAGCTGCCACGAGCAGCACCGGGAGTAGTTGAAGAGGCGGTGGTTGGGTAAGTGCTGTCGAGCCACAGCATGTTGGCCGCGTGATCATCCCAGAGACTCATGACCAGAACCATGCCATCCGCAAGTCCAGCCCCCATGCCCGCCATACCGCCATGTTTAGTGAATACATCCTTGTCCCCGAATGCGGTCTTCTGGGCAGAGCAGAAGGAGTCGGTGATAGAGTTGCCAGTAACAGCGCTGATGGTAGATACAGACTGGGGGATAACCTTGCCATTCTGCACGTAGAAGCGCTTGATTTCCGAGAGGGTGCCGGTGGACGTGCCATCATCCGTGATAAACTGAGTCACCACAGTGAAAGGGGACTTGGTATCAACGATCTGGCTCGGGCCATAGAAAGACTTGTTGCCCATGCGATATGGGTTGAAATCACATCCATCGGGGTCACAAGTACCACCATAGCGGTCGCTGCTGTATGTGCCACCACAGGCATCTCCAGTGCACCTAGTCTGGGCTGGGTCATCGCAGGGATGGGGTGTGACTGCAGTGGAGATTGAGTTTGCCTCCCAAATATCCATCTCAGCACAGCAAGAACCATAATTGCCAGTGCCAGCGTTGACATCGTTGGAAGACGGCTTCCATCCTTCCACGTTGGCCTGGCCGTTGATGAACTTGAGGTCGCGCGGGCATTGCGCATCACAGTAACCAGTACCGTATTTCGCACCGGCTTTGTTGGTAGGATATCGTGCCATGCCACCATCTTCGTCCATGGCCACGAAGTAGAGCGCACCGTTCAAGCCACAGGGAAGGTTCGAGACATCGACATCGAAGGTGAACTCCTGATTGAGCAGCTGGAACATTTCGTACTTGCTATCATCCGCCATCAGGTAGAGACGCGAGCCGATGTTCTTTTGAGATGCCTGGGTGACGAAGTTCAGTCGCAAAGAGCTGCCGCTGGCGGTAACACCATAAGTGCCCTTGTAGTCGGCACCTTCTAGGGCGCAGTTGGTGGCACAAGTAACATCGTCCGGGCAGAGAGTTTTATCCCATTGATTGCCAGTATAGCAATTGGTGTAGCCGGCAGTGTTGTGAACCCAGCGCCAGTTGGCGTCGACGACAACCTTGCCGCTTTGAGAAGTGCAGCTACCTCCAGCTGTGCACTTTTGCCAAGTCAAGGACGGGTGGACTTCAGCAGTGTTTGTGCCCACCTGCTGTGCCTGTGCAGCCCCGAGAAAGGCGGCCAACAGCAGAGCATTTTTGTAGATCTTGAAGCAGAGAGTGGAAGCCATGATGTCCAGTGTTAATGTGCACTGAGTTGAGGCCTTGATTGCTGGGTGAATTGATGAGGAAATCGAGTCTGGGAAGGATACAGGGTCCTTTTATATTCCAATAGGAACTAGAGGGTGTTATCAGAGGATTCACATTGAGCTTCATGTCACGGCTCTACGGTCCGTATGACCGTATGGCAATAAACTGCCATATTTCCCAATGGAGAAGTACGACAAACACTCCGCGGACACGGAGGGAGTTCCCCAGACCCCGCCCCAGGCTTCAGAAGTAGTTGAAGTCTTTTTGTGGGGGAGGCGCCTTGGGCCTTAGTGCCACCGAGATAGCTGTGAGGACTTCATCGCTTGGTAAGGGGAAAATTTTGCATTCAGCTCACCAGACTAGGCCCCAGCGACGCAGCCACATCGGATGGAAACCCATTGGCGGCTAAATGGCCAGCCTCTAAGTTAAGCAGGGACAACGCCGTGTTGTGTATGACGCCCGATTTGAAAATGAAACATGTTAGCATACCCAGATTAGGAAAATACCTCAGATCCGTGACAAGGTAGTAACTACCCAGATTCTGCAGGATCTAGACTGGGGCAGGCTTTACCCCAATCCTCGGTAAATTGCGTTAGCTGCCCACGCTGGCTCGTGGGAGTGCAATGGAATGCATTAGCGTAGTGAAGGTAATTTGGTTTAATCACGGGGATTAAGGAACCAATGCGCGTGTCAGTAATCCGGTACCAGTCCCGAGGTCCCATGACACCTAGGTGAGATTGATGCATAATTCTGGTGCCGAGTGGCTTTTGGGTCGCGCCAAAGAAACGGTGGCTAAAAAGATGGAATCCTGCGACTATGGGGGATGTGAGAATATGAGTTGATATCTTTTCAGTTGTCAATACAAGTCCTAATGATAGATATAGACCAAAGAGATCAAAGTGATCGACGTGATGAAGATCAAGGCGATGAAGATCAAAAAGTAAACAAAAGAACGCCCAATCAATCACCTGGCAATGCCGGCAGATGAGTCATCGCCGAAACCGGTAAGTGGGATATTCACCAAAAAAAAAGAATTCAGAACAATTTCTCTCCATCGTCTCAGTCATTCGAAGGAATACCAGCGGATTCAACACCGTCATCTAATTTATTATGGCTTCTAGCTTCATTTTGACACTTTCCGGTCCCGACCGCCCCGGTATTGTCCACGCGGTCACTGCATTCCTCGTGCAGAACAACCTCAACATTATCGATTCCTCGCAATTCGGTGATCCTGCCTCTGAGCGCTTCTTTATGCGCACACAATTTGCGATTGCAAATGGAGGGGATGAAACCCCTGAACTCGAGAAATTGCGCACTGCGTTCGAGCCCACTGCCCAGTCGTTCTCCCTCGACTTCCAGATCAACCCTATTGCGAAAAAGCCCCGCGTGCTGATCATGGTCTCCAAGATCGGCCACTGCCTCAACGACCTGCTCTTCCGCCAATCCACTGGCCAGCTGAGCATTGAGGTGCCTTTAATCGTTTCCAACCACCCAGACTTCGCTACTCTCGCGGCCACCTATAATATCCCATTCCACCACCTTCCCGTCACCGCGGATACCAAGGCGCAGCAGGAGGCCCAGATTTTGGAGTTGGTGAGCCAACACAGCATTGATTTGATTGTGCTGGCTCGGTATATGCAGGTGTTGTCCCCAACCCTGTGTTCCGCCATGTCCGGTCGCATTATCAACATCCACCACAGCTTCCTGCCCTCTTTCAAGGGTGCCAAGCCCTACCACCAGGCCTACGACCGCGGTGTGAAGATCATTGGTGCCACTGCCCATTTCGTCACCAGTGACCTTGATGAAGGCCCGATCATCGAACAGAATGTCGTGCGGGTCAACCACGGCATGAGCCCCAAGGAGCTGACCCATGCCGGCAGCAACGTGGAGAGCAATGTACTCGCCACTGCTGTCAAGTACGTGACAGAGCGCCGTGTGATCTTGAACGGCCATAAGACTGTTGTCTTTAACTAAGGCATTTCAGTCTCACCCCATCCATTCCTGTGAATCACATTGTGCGCATATTAGACATTTGGCCATCAAGTCACCCCTTTCAGCGCCCCTTTCGTGGTACATCTATGGTTATTATAGACCATGGGACTACCAGGAAAAGAAAATCGAAATCGAAATAGATTCCGAGTTCGAATGTATATAATATATGCGTAAATATATATACATTATGTATACAGTTGATGAGAATACAATGACCCAAGTGGACTTGAGAACCTCCTAGATCAGTAGGACATGCAATATCCTAGGAATTTCTGTTTTCATCTTTTTATCTATTTTTTGCCCTTTTCCGCCCTGCGAAAACAAGCGCTCGGGCGTCGCCTGGCGGGGAAGATAAAACTCACCATCTGCACCGCTCAAAGACAAATTCTACTTCCTACCCATATCTCGAATCAATATGACTTATACTGTTGCCCCTCATCTCGAATACTTCACCATCCCTCTCACGGACTTCGCGGCCGCCCGACCTGAATTTGAAGGGTTTGGTGTTGGCGCGTACATTTTCTCTCATGCCGATCCCACCCCGCGAATCCTTCTTCTCCAGCGCGCACTGACGGACTCAATGCCCGGCTGTTGGGAAGGCCCTGGAGGCGCATGCGAACTGGACACCGACAAAACGTTACTGGATTCCCTTGTGCGCGAAACGCTAGAAGAAAGTGGATTGCATGTGTCTCATATTATTGACCTCGTCGCCGTGGATTGCTGGGAGCATCATCACCGTGGTGGCGGCAAAATTCGTCTTGCCAAGTACTCGTTCGTTATTGAGGTCCAAGAGGCCTTGGGATGGTCAGCAGGAAAACAACAATTGGTGCCAACACTCCAAATACCTGTCCAACTCGATCCACTGGAGCACCAGAAATTTGACTGGGCGATAAAAGAGGACGTTCTGCTTTCTATCCAGTCACTCAACGGTCCATACAGATTCCCATTGCCCTTAATTGGTCATCAAGCACCCAATATCCTCCGGGCGTTTGAATTAGTCGAACAACGAGAGAGCAAGAACTAAATGGTTCGAAGATATCGCTCAATTCTCGGAACGCGTATTCCGCACATTTATAGGACTTGGCTAACAATTTGTTCTCTTTTTCTCGGCACTGTAGAGATCTTTTGTAAGTGGACTTTACATCTCTCCTTCCCACATATCTAGGTTATTCCATGCCTCATCTCTTACTAGAGAGCATCAAGTAAAATACAACCACCACTTGTATAGGTAAAGGTTATCGTGCAGCGAAGGACGAACGCTGAGTATTATTACGAAAGGAAAATAGCTCAGTCGTAACGGACATAATTTATACACAAACGAAGAGACCAACCAATCCTCGAGGACCCGAGAAGAACGCGGACGCCCAAGTCGCCCACTCCTGATAATCATATGGCGAGTGAGACCTCGGCTGGCTTCATGGTTTTGCTCCTGCAGAAGCGGAGCTGGGTTTTGATGGCTTAGGCGGGACTTCCCCCGGCATCGGCTTGCGAGCCCACACTCTTCTCCTGTCCTGGTGGTCAGCCTGGCCCGTGTCGAACTTGATGGCAGATTAGAACTTACGCTTTGTGATACGCATGGTAGTTTGGGTTCTTCATTTCACTGCGCATCTTGGCACAGTGTACATGAACTTGCTCTTTAGACCACGGCTCGGGGTCACCGAATTTCGTTAGCAGCCACATGCACCACCCTTCCATACCAGACATCCAGTGTTGGCAATTGACCACACCTGCCTCCTTGAATTTCTGGTCTCTAGGCCACGGCCCAATTGGCCATTTGTAGATCTTTTCGTGCAGGTCCACAAATCCGGCGTTCTTGATGCTCTCCGACATGGTGAGGACGATATCGCAAGAGCGACCAGCGCGATCACCGCACTTTTGCATAAGTGGACCCCAAGAGGACAAGGCACTATCGGCTGGGAGGCTCCCATCGTCACTTGTAACAAAAGGGCCAACCTCGATCTGCTCGATCCATCCACCAGGGGCCATATTTCTGTTGTACGGTTAGATTGGCCCGGTCACTTTACTTTATTGACAACCTACTCAAAGCAGTGCCGGTAAACAAGTTCCCACTCAGAAGAGTCAAATGATCCGATCATATTGCGCATATGGATTAGATCAAACTGTTCGCGCCATGTCCAGTCTTGCAGCACATCATCGACCTCGATGACGCAATTAGGCGGCATCCAGGTGACCGGAGGTGGGAAAAGGTCAACCCCTCGGACGGTGGCATTCGGGAACATATCAGCGACATCGCTAGGAATGATGAGTATTTGACTTTTTCACTGGGGTCGGAACGGTCTACAGACGTACATGGCCCAAGTGCCCTTTCCGGTTCCAATATCGAGAACTTGTAACGGGCGTTCTCGGTCGATCCCGATGGGTGACCGAAACAGTGGATTAGCTCGATCGGACTCCATGATAAGATCCACGAGATGTCTGCCGCGATAGTCAGAGGCGTGTCCGGAACTAGGATTCGAATACGTACCCTGCCTCATAGGTCTCGAATTGTTGCTCATCAGATGGAATACTGTAAAGAAATGAGCCTATTCTTATTTATGACATTTTCAACCACCTACCAATATTCTTTGTTTGAAAGCGATTGATATCTGTGGGAGTATGAGTCTATGTTGAATATGATCAAGTGATCCAATCCGCGAAGCTCTTACCGCCTCCCATTGTCCATCAAACCACGATAGATCGATGACCTAATCGAGGTCGTTTCCCTAATGATGTGTAAGGAACATATGGAGTACAAGACATCGACCATCACATGCAAACTCACGACTGCCAGTCATCGGGGCCATAAGCGTTGCTCGGTGCGTATAAGTCTGGATCTACAGCGATGGGCTTCATATTGTTTCTCTCTCTTTATTGCTTTGCTTTTTTTCGTTACGAAGGCTGAGTATGAAAAGCAATCTTCCAAGGTTGGATATATGGGGGCGGGAGCGTGGGAAACAAAGAGAGACAAGGGAATAATCAAGCCCAACCGAGAGCGATCAAGGCTAATATTAAATGACGCGTGGATCCCTTTTGACTTTTTCCTTGTCACGGAGATATCGCTGATTGGCTGTGGATACGGCAACTTCGTCAACCTTGGAATTTGAAACCTTGGCGTTCCCGTTCCCCACACGGAAGAACCATCAGCTTCCCGCTGAATCTGCTATTGGCTGGGTGTACCATTGCCAACGGTACATGAACAACATACGATGTAAATATTTAAATATTTGTGTACATATTTGTACTATGTACGGAGTACGTATTTAGAGTATCAAAGATACTTTTTGACCTCTTATAACGTGTACTGACAGGCCAAACCCAAATTTAAATACCTCACCTTGGAAGCCCTCTGCCATTCATGAATCTGTCATCGACCACCTACGTAGGCAGCTTCGCCTGGCGCATTGCTTATTTGCTCATCTAGTGTTGCACAAACTCTTAGAACGACAATAGCCTTGACTAATCCCGAGATCCCTAAGGGCCCTGGGGCCAAGATGGATCAGATCGTAAGAGACGAGCTGTGTTGTACTCCTGCAGCCTAATGCTATGCGGCAAAACATGGACCCCGCCATAAACGTAGCATTGGAATTCATGTATGTACTCCGTAGCATCCGCAGGTCAAGTTCCTTCGGGGCTGCGGTCCCGTTCGAGCGGTGTGCAGACCGAATACCTTCTGTATCACTGCAGTTCACTGTGCAACCTCTGTACAACATTTATGAATTGACATTTAAGACCTGTTGGCCTTCAAGACTACCATAACAAATCTTGATAAATATCGACCAAGAATGATGACTGAAGGCAACTTGTCAACTCTCGAGCAATTAGTTCAAATTTTAGAACAGACTCGGGGAATCCACATAGACGTTCCAAATGGTGAGTATTCTTACGCCATTTTGTGCCCATTGCTCTAGGTAGCGTTGGTAATATTTTCATTCGGGCTTTTAGAGGCGTCCCATTCCACCCTAAATGCCCTCCAAAACTTAGAGTATATCTCCACAGTCCTTCGCACCGATCATACGAAGCAACGGGAGGCCGATGTTCTGACCGATGTCATTGGTATTTGCTATCAGCCAGCCATGCTGGGGGGCCTAGGAATATACAAGCATGATCCTCTGACAGTACAACAACAATCGGAAATCTTGTTCCTTGTGGATGCGTGGCTGGAATCACTCAATTCGGCCGACCGAGAAAAGTCAATCCCTTGCCTTCTAACACAAAGGCCGGAAGGGCGCCGAGGAATGACCATGAGCGAAAAGATATTTGCGATGCATGATTTAAATCACGAAGGGGTTGTGGCTCCAGGCGACATAATTCGTGTTCATGTCGATTGGGTACTTGCCTCCGAGGTGTCTTGGGCAGTAGGTTTGCTTTTAGAGGCGATGTGAGCTGTGGCTGATTATGAGTCTCAAGGGAATGGAAATGACCTATAATCAGCTAGGAAAGCCCGGAATATTTCGAAACGATCGCTTCTGGCTTTCTGGAGACCATGTTGTTGATCCCAGGGTTAACGAACTACCTCAAGTGCAGGCACTGATCAGTATAAGCGAGAGAGCGAAGAAAACCTTCAAAATGACGGAATACCAAGGCATGAATGTCAGTCTTCGTTTTGTGGTGTCTTTTGCAATCGCTGAATCACACCTATGAAGTACACTATTCTCCACACTGAGTTCTATCGAGAGCGCGCGCAGCCCGGAATGCTGGTTGTCGGCTCGGACTCACACACATGTTCATCAGGGGCAGTAGGTTGTCTCGCAATTGGACTGGGTGCTGCGGATACCACTTTACCATTGGTAACAGGAGAAACGTGGTTCAAAGTCCCAGAGACCGTCAATATACGCCTGATTGGAGCACCGAAGCCAGGTATTGGGGGTAAAGATATCATCTTGTATATCTTGCAAGTGCTTAAACGGAATACTATAGCATCTGATAGAATCGTGGAGTTCACAGGCCCAGCACTCAGACATTTGTCTCTTGATACCCGATTCGCAATTTCAAACATGACCACGGTTATGTCACCGCCAAAACTCAGTTCGGCCAAATTTACTGACATTGATGACAGGAACTTGGTGGAATTACTGGCTTATTTATGCCTGATGAAACCACCCACCAGTTCATTAGTACGCGAAAACTTGCTCGCCACAAATGCCATGCAACGTACTTCAGGCCCGATACCGATGCGGAGTATGCCGCAGTTCATGAGATCGACCTCACGAACGTGGGGTCTTTTATCGCACGTTATCCCAAGCCGGATGACGTGGTTCCAGTGACAGAAGAAGAGGGAATGGAATTGAATGGATGTTTTATCGGGGCATGCACTACCACGGAGGAAGATCTGATCCTCGGTGCTCTAGTAATGGAGCAAGCAATGAAAAGAGGATTAAAGCCTACCGGAAAGGGGAAGAGAAAGATTGTTGCCGGTTCAATGCCAATACTGTATCGCTTACGCGAACTGGGGTTATGCGATATATACGAAGACGCAGGATTTGAGATAGGCATCCCTGGGTGCAGTTATTGTGTCGGAATGTCAGCCGACCAGGCCGTCCAAGGAGAGGTCTGGATTTCCTCTCAGAATCGCAATTTCGAAAACCGAATGGGCAAAGGTAATGAGCATTCTTCAATGCCATGGAATAGTCGATTGAGACCACATGATTTAGGTTCGATTGGTCATCTCGCCTCTGCAGCCACTGTTGCAGCATCATCATTTGAAATGAAGCTAGTCGATCCTAGTGATCTGCTTGCTGGGATCGATTTAAGCCGATGGGACCAGCTCAGACCGGCAAGCAAACACTTTGGCGCAACTAACCCAAAGAGCGACGTGACATATTTTGAGCCATGTGGTTGTGGTGATTATCCTAGTGCCTCGGCGCAGACCCAGAAACGAAGAGAGAAAAGGCGGCTAGATAAAGAGGGAGAAAAACAGACTAAAAGAGTTCAAGGCAAAGTGCAGAGACTGGGCGATTTCATCGACACGGATGCAGTGCGTGCTTTCTGTTTCCTTATGTTGGTGAAGTGCCAGAGCTAATGGTAGTCTTCAAGCTGGCCCCTGCTGAGTTTCTGATTGGCATGAAAAATAACGCAGACGCTGGCATGTGCTGTCTGGTGCATACGCATCCAATATTCCGTGAACGAGCCCGGCAGGGTTTCAATGTTGTTGTTGGTGGTAAGGGTTTTGGTTGCGGGTCTTCACGCGAACAAGCAGTGATGGCATTATTAGGCAAGTCAAGTCCGACAATCTCACAGAAAACCGAATCCGAGATTTTTGACCACGGGTTTCTTTTAGGATGCGGTGTTCAATGTGTCATAGCCAAATCGTTTGCGTTCATCTTCCAACGAAACATGCCAAGCCTCGGGCTCCTAGGCATCACAATGGAAGATGAGTCCTTCTTTCAACTTGCGAATGGTGGAGTGTCAATTTCCATCGATTTAAATTCACGAATTATTGAAGTCGCTGGAAAGACGTTTGGATTCAAACTCAGTCAAATGGAAAGCGAAATCTTCCAATTTGGTGGGATTGCTTCGGCTTTTGGGCTGTTCGGAAACAAGCTGCTTCAGACAATAACCCCAACCAAATCCCCTCCAGGGCCAAAAGATGTGACAGTACAACAGCTGGATAAACGATTGCAGTGGTAAAATATCATAGCCAATCCCTGCGTCTTTGTCGTTTCATTGCGTGTTGGTGTGGATTAGGCTCGAATGGATGGAAAAAAGGGAGATAGTTGTTGAAAGTTTATATTTGCTCCAGCCACCTTCGTTAGTGTATGAAACGATAATATCGAAGAAAAACGGAGAAAGAGGGACAGCTATCGACTTGCTATAAAAAGGGAGCCTTCAAACCAAGGTAGCAGCAGTCTTAAAAGAGGAAACATGGTCGCTGGCCTCACGAAGTCAAGCAATAGATCAGCCTGGTTGAGTGACTGGCGCTCTATAGAGAGGAATAGTGACTCTGGTGTTCTCGGCTACCAAGATAATGACCTCATTCGCCAAGTATTTAGACTCCAGTAGCAGCATATTATTTCTCGCATCGGCCGAGGTAATTGCCCTGTGTGTCAAGAGACCCAAGAATCGGTCGTTCGTGCTCATTAAAGGAAGACGCTTTCTATCGCTCGTCGGAGGACAAGTTGCTAATAGCTAATGCCGTTACCCTCTATATGAGATGGTATTCACTTCCCCTAGCGGAGGTAAAGGCCGCTATTAAAGCGAAGGCTATCGAAAAGGAGGAACAATACTTGGCGGCTAAAGAGGAGTTCTTGAAAAACGATATACCTCCTCCGCCAGCCACTATACAATGGCTGGAGATCATAGAACATATGGTTGTAGGGAACCTGCTCTAGAGTCTCACTTGTACACGCTATCATCAGAATTCTAACAATCAATATATGGACTATCATGAGATGAGGTGTCGTCAAGGGTACATTTTCCCTAATGACTGTATAAGACTCGACGCGTTCGTCGGTTTTTAAACCGGATACGAACCATAAGCTACGGTTATAAATGGTCATGATAACTAGAACTATATCGACGTGGCCGAGAACGTTAGTAAAATCAATAGGGGTCCGTGAACCTAGAAAACTTTGTTTCTAGGATATCTATTCCTCTAACCGTGATGTATATTTATAGATACTAGTACTATCAACTTATAGTGACGAAACTTTAGCACCATTCGACGAGACGGTGGGAATATTAACTATTAGAATATATCAGATTATTCCTACGGCTAACCCTAATAGGTAATTAAGAACCCTTCACACTATCTGATAGTATAGCCCTCAGACCGCCTATTGAAGAAATTCGTCTAGTCGCTAAATCAGTGGTTTCAAGTATAAGAGAAATCCGTGCAAACTATAGAGAATGCTAGTTAGCTCCTCCCTAATTGCTCACTACTATAAGAATGTTGCTTTCCCTAAGTACTTAATCGGTAGGTCTAATGCTAGTAAGGTTGGACGACATCGAAGACCAGTCACCGTTACGAAAGGGTAGGCTATCTAGCCATACTATCTACGGGCAGGCATAAACCATAAACTCGGCGTATTTCCTCTACGCTGAAGCACTTCAAAAAACCTACTCTCTAGGCGACCATATAGTCCCGATTTATATTAGTGAGCTCTATAACCGAGATACTCCTATCCTAAGCTAACCAGCCATAGAGGAGATGCAGATGCTACATCTAGGCCAGGGTTAGGAACTGCACTAGACCTATCACGGAATAGTGCCATCTAAAGAGGACTATCTAAGAATGGTTGATGGGAGTTAGTAAGCTATATTCTTCGTTTATGGCCCTAATCTAACCTCGAAACAACTAGTCTACTCCGGATGTAAAGGAAAAGTACTATGGATGCGGAACCAAGACCTTGATGTACATTTAACTTCTTTGTCTCGAGCTTCTTTGAGGTTTGCCAAGGATTGACCCTGTGATCATCCTGACAACTGCCAGTGTCCGAAAGAGGACTCGGAAGCTAGCTGAACACATCATCGTGACAGGCACGATTCAGGGACGAAGAGGTACAAGAGTGTCTCCCCCGGGAAAATTGGACTTAGCAAGAATTAGTCTCTGCACAAAGAATACCATACGTTTCTCCCCCCCCCCCACTGTTAAACTCGCCTGACCAACAGGACTAGCCTGACAACTAGTATTTCTTTACACCGGATGCCCGCCCGACTATTATAGTCTGAGTCAAAGGCAAACAGGTTCGGATCACACATTCAATCTGTTTTAATATTTTCGGAGATCCGTCTATGTTGAATTACTAATCCTCAGTTATAGAAGCCTCGACGTATCCAAATTCATCACTAAGCTCGGCCTATTCTTCTAAGTTAAAGACGACTACCAGGACCTGACATCAGCTAAGGTATGTTTTAGTCGCGTCAATAATACACAGTTAGTCTATTAAAGCTTCTTAGTGCACCAATTCCGAAGGCCTTTACGGCGACCTCGATGAGGGAAAGATGTCATTTCCTATCATTCATGCCCTACGGGAGACAGACCCTGAGCTCCAAGCGATCTTCGAGCAGCGGAAGCGCACCAACCACCTTACACATGAACAGAAAAGGTTTATCCTGGATAAACTCCGTGAGAACGGCAGCTTGACCATACCTTCCGCATGGTGCAAGACATGTATCTTGCAGTTTGGAAGGAGCTGGAGCACCTTGAAGTCGCCACCGAGCAAAAGAACTGGATGCTTAGGATGCTGCTGCAGCGGGTGAAGATTTAAACCGAAAGACCATTGTTTTCGTCTTCTGGCGTGCTGCCCGAAAGACATCTCCAGGAGAAGGGCGTTTGCATCCGACGGCCAATTTGAGAGGCGAAAGACAGTGCCAGAGAAGGAGGTCTACGTATTGACGGAATCGAGAGGTCGGAGATGGACTAGTTACATAAATTGCGGATTGTTTTGTGCTAGTTAGTCAGTTAGTTATAGGTGGCTCCTGGGGCGTCAGCCGGAATTACTGGGCACCTTGACCTGTCCCGTCCCGTCATTTATATATTTACTTTCGTCATATAGTAGTCACCTAGGGTAGCACTTGCACAGGTTTTAGCAGTCACTTTATCCTTATACGTCGAGAGCTCCCTTCGACTACTACTATTTCTGACTACGGTCAGAAATTACTTATACGTTTAAAGCTTTATTTCATCACGTTTTCTGACCGTGTTCAGAGACTTGGTACGCCTTGCGTACCGCCTAGACATCACCGTAACCCAAACAGCCCA